TATATTCTGTTGTACTAGAAAGCAGGAAGTACTCCAGGAATGAGTCATACCAAAAGAATGCAGAGGCTAGCTTGAACAGGCTCCTACTGGGTTAATTTGAGAATCAAAGTTAATAATAACAGTAATGGGTTAAAATCCTGGCTGCTTTAGCTATATTCTTATAGTTTCACTCTCCATGCCCACTTTTAACTCTTTTTCCTTTACCTTCTTCTCTTTAAGCTCTAGGCATGAAAGCAATATGCTCTTGTTTTTCCTCTGTTTCTGGATGATGCATGTGTTCTACATTGGAGTAAAAAAATAAGATTTTTAGCTTTAGGCTTTGGGGTGATCATAGAAAAATTTGTCTCAACTGACTTCAGTTCTGTGCCACTGAAACCAACCTGTCATGGTCTAATGGGGTTATTTATTTGGTTGAAACTTAAAAGTGTAATTTTTGTAGGTAAAACTGTTGCATATCATATTGTTCAACAACATAGTTCAGCCAGCCTTATAGGAGTTTTGAGACTCAAAGCCAAACCTCAAGAAATCTTAAATTGCTATCTGTGCCTTTTATTTTCTTGGATGAGAAAGGGTGACTGACCACAGACCTCCTGACTACACTGCATAATGCCATCTGAATCTCACATCCATGCCATCTATCAGAAGTACTATCATAGAGTGAAGAGTGAAGACAGTGGTAGACCAGGAGTCAAAGAACTATATTCTATTCTTAAGGTTCTCACCACCTAGCAAAAAATGTTGGATGAGGTGCAGCTTCTCTCAGCCTCTGTTTCTATAGTTGAAAAACAGAGGTTGAATAAAGACTAAGTTGTCTCTGCTGTTCCTACTAACTCTAATAGTTTACAATTATTTTCTAGGACCTGAAGAGGTAGGAGCTGGGACAAGTTTGTATATACTTAACTATATTTATATGTGTACTGGTGTCCTTTAGAGACACATCAGCCAACCAAGCAGATAATCAAGGTTGAAGGGAAAAATCTACATTAGCGGAAACTTTTAGTTTTAGCCAAGTCAAAAACAAAATTCTAGACTTCATATTACTTAATATGTTCTATGAATCAACAAAAGGTCATTGTTGTGTGATTTAAGAAGAAAAATGTACTTTAGTTGCTTTTTAAAGTTCTTTTTACTTTCTTTTATAAATTTATGAAAGTTTTAAGTGATTGTGGAGACTAATTATTTGCTCATAAATGTATGGACTTCAAATCATGAGTCTCTTGAGAATCTGTAAGAAATGTTTCAAATCCTTTGGCTCTGTGCTATCCAATTATAACAATGCTAAATTTAGTAAGATTTTTGGTTTGTCCTCATCTGCACAGTGATGATAATCTCTAATTTGGACTTTTTAATATAAGCATTGTTACAAAATTGTCTGTAGTCTAATATTGCTTAGAAAAGGCAAAAATAACCTTAATTCCTGCAAATCTGAACAATAATATGCAACCTAAAAAGAAGAAAAGGCTCGTTGCATAACAACTCAGTAGAACAGTGACTATCCCCACAGCCTCCTTCCACGGAGTTACCCAGCCCCCCAGATAATTCTGCTTTATTCAAGTACACTTTTTTCCAAAAACAGTAACCCCCCAGTACAACTTTCATGAGCAATTTGGTATAGATCATACCATGAACAGAGAAAGCAGTTAAGATATTTAACAAGTTAGAAATGTACAGGGCACATTTACACCATCAAAATCAACATAATAAGATATCCTAATGTTTCTGGGACAAATTTTTTGGGGGGTTAAGTCTTCTTTTCTGTTTTTTTTCTCCCAGATATATTACAATTATTGAGTATAAATGCTATCTTTATATCCCTTTGAAGTTTCCATTTTTCTCTGTATCTGATATTATCATAGATATAGGTATATCAGATATATTTTAAAACTGGATCCCAGTAAATGAAAGGATCTCTAATAATTGCCTTGGACATTCAGTAGCCTAATATTTAGTATTTTTTGAAATGGCCTTCTTTTCTACAGTACTTATTCTACGTAAAAGGCTTTAAATTCTTCTATACACTTTAGACATATGCTCATTAATATGACCACTTAATTTAAATGAATAGGAATCATAAATAAAAATAAACCAAACTGTAAACATCAAAATAACATTAAAAATATTTTTATTGACTAACTACAAGCACTGCATAAGTAATATAAATAAGGATCATCATTTTTAGTCTTTCACGACTAAACAGATTCTTTGGTGGTTGCTTCCACAGGATAAATGCCAGTAGTTTAGGGTACAGATCTAAATGTATCCAGTATAACCTCATTCATCAGTTCACTGCATATCAACTGTACTTTGCCTATAGTGACAGGCACTGGATAAGCAGACGCAACAGTGAGCAAAATGGAAAGAGGCCCTTCCTTTCACAGAACTACAGATGTGTAGAAGAATGACACTGATCAAATATTTGCCCTTTTGAGTATATAGTTACAAAATGAGATAAGTGTTGTCAAGAAAAAGAGTGAGATTCCACAAGAAGTTATCATAAGGAATTTGACTCAGGTTGGGGGTGTCAAGAAAAGCTTTCCTGAGAAAGTGATTCTTAAGTAAACTCTAAGGGACGACTAGATGTTAATTAGGCAAAGGAATTAGTGGGGGGGGGGGTAAAGAAAAGTAAGAGAAACACTTTAAAATTGAAGGGAAGGCATGTGAAAAGTTCCCATGACAAGAGGCATATTAGTTTCCTATTGGTGCTGTAACATATTACTTCAAATTTAATGGCCAAAACAACAAAGGTTTATTATCATATGATTCTGGAGGTCAGAAGTCTGAAATGGATCATGGAGCTAAAATCACAGAGTTCCTTCTAAAGGCTTTAGGAAGAATCTGTTTCCTTGCCTTCAGGCTGCCTTCCTTGCCTTCCAGCTTCTTCAGGCTGCCACATTCCTTGGCTTATGGCATGGGTGTCAAACTCATTTTCATTGGAAGCCGCATCAGCCTTGCAGTTGCCTTCAAAGTGCCTAATGAAATTTTAGGACTGTATAAATGTTAACTACTCCTTAACTGGTAAGGAGTTGAAATTACATTTGGCCCTTTGAAGGCAACCATGAGGCTGATGTGACCCCCTGTGAAAATGAGTTTGATACCACTGGTTTCTAGTCTCCTTCACCCATCTTTAAAACCAGAATTAGCCAGCCCAATCTTTTCATGAAGCTATCTCTTTGGTTCTCTTTCTCCTGCTTTTCTGTTTTACTTAGGACCCTCCAGCCAATCCAGATAATCCAGGATAATCTCTATATTGTGTAATCCTTAGTTAATCACATTTGCAAAGTCCCGTTTAGCTTGTAAGGTACCCTATTCACAGGTTCCAAGGATTAGAACTTGGACGTCTTTAAGGAGCCATTATTGTGGTCACCATAAGAGAATCATGTTTCATTTAATAATTAAAAAAAGGTCAGGATGCTGAGTACATAAAGTGAAGAAAAAAGTGGTATTGGATGAGTCTGGAGAGGTGGGCAAAGGCCACATTATTTATAACACCATAAACCATGTCAAGAGTTTTTAATCTTTACTCTAAGAATACTGGGAAGCTATAAAAGGGGTGACAGATTAAACCTGATATTTTAAAATATCTTTCTGGCTACTGTGTAAAGAAGGTATTTTAAAATAGCATAGGTTCAGGAAAAAGATGATGGCAGCACCAATAACAAATGATTAACATTATTATTCAAGTCACTAAAGTCATTTCAGATCTTTGACTTTCTAATTGGGTGGTTCTATGACTTTGGTTAAATACCTGCCTGGTAGTTCTATGGGGAAGAGGAAACATTATGGCGCACAGCATGCCACTCATACAGAAACAGTACCAGGCGTGCAAGGCAGTCTTTGTGTTATTATATTGTTTCTACTGTTACTATGCATAACTCTAGGCTAGTAAATAAGAAAACTTATTTAATAAAATAAATATGTATAATGAGTAAAACAAGTATAAAATTATGTAATTTGATTTAAAAAGTAAAAACTTATAATACATAAATAAATTTCTGTTTTTAAGGAGAAATTAAAAAATGTAACTCAAGAAGTAGAAAACCAGAATAGATTAAGAATGCTTGTGAACACTGAGTGAGGGAAGAGAATTTGAAAATGAGGTGATGGAGAGTATGAGATCCAAATCATGTTGAGCTTCTGAGGCCATGCTAAGAATTTTGGCTTTTACTGTAAGTAAAATGGAGAACGTTTGGAGAGTTTGAGAAGAGGAATGCCACAGTCAAACTTTGGTGTTAGACTGATATTTTGAAAATAGACAGATTGTAGGGGTAAGCATGGAGGAAGAGAAGGATGTTTTATTCCCTAGACTTGGTAGGTGTTTTTTCTAAGAGCCTTAGCAACATCCTGCTCTTACTAGAGGCTTAGCTTTTTGTCACATTGTATTATAATTTCCTGTAATTATTCATTTCCCTCTTTAAACTATAAGTTTCTTGAGAGAGAAATCAAGCTTATCTTCTCACACTGTATTTTATTTCTAGAAACTAGCATTATGCTTGACATACAATTACTGCTGAATACAGACAGGTTGCATTAAATTAGTAAAATCAGACAGAACATGTTACTAGTGTGATAGGGAGGGTGTGTTGTGATTATCTATGCCACTAGCACCACGCATACATTTACGTTATTATGCTTATTTTTCTATGTAATTATTTGTTATTTTCCAGCATTAACTAGTTGATGTTTCTCATGGTTCTGATTTAAGGACGGGGGAAAGAAGGAGGAAATGAACATCTATATATGTATAACCAAGCATGACTTCCACATGGTAGTTTACTGAAGCATTTAACTCTCCTCACAAACTTGGGAAGAAACATATAATTAGCTCCGTTTTACAAGAGGAAACCACAGTTTAGAAATGCTAAGTAACTTATCAAAGGTTACCCAAAAGGTAAGAACCAGGGTTGAAATATCTGTAAAGCCCCTTTCTCAATCTGTATATAAATAGATTATAAACAACATAAAATAAATGGATACTTTTAAAATACAAATAGGTTCCTTACCGGAAAGTATAGAAGCAGAGACCCAAAAAGGATTGTTTCCAACAGGATAAGACCCGATGCCCTGATGCTCTAGAAAACAAAGTGAAAATATCATGGTTAGGCTTACATTTTTAGTCACAGGAGAATTTATGCTATTGAGACAATGGCTCAACCAGTTGCCCAGCATTCTGTGAGGGAAAATAAATGAAAACTGGCTCACATTGGACAGGAGAACTTAACTACAACACGCAAAACAACGGACTACGGCGGTGATGGCAAACTTAATATTGCCAGTGTCTTCATGGAATTTTACTCTAAAATTTGAGTCATCAGACTAAACATCTGAGAACACTGTCTAGAAAATCCTTTCAATCCAACCAATTCATAGACACAGGAGATTTTGCCTGTATTCCTGAAACATCAGCTACAAGTGTATATTGAATTCTGTCCCTAAGCCATTTCACAAATACCTGAGTAATGGCTTGAGTGAATAACACAAACATATGCATAAGATCTTGTCTTGTGATCTCAGTGATAAAATCTAGTCCCCAAACTCAATAACAGAGCTCCACTATATAAATAATAGAAATCACATTAAATAACAGAGGAATCTTGCTTTGTAAACATGCTTAAATTATTCTCAACTCAAAATTCAAAAGAATACATTGATTTTCAGATAAATTTCCTGAATATCTAAGTTTGCTAAGATGTTTTGTTAGACTCAAAATAGCATTATCTTCCCAAAACAAAATGCTTAGAGCTGCAGCAAGAAATAAAGACAACAAAACAATCAATTTTCTACCCTAATAATAAATTTTATTTTAACTAGTTTTAATATCAATATTGGGTAAATAGACTGACCAAGAATACAAACATAAAAAACAGGTCATTGGAGAGACCCAATGTTTTCACTAAATGCAATATAAAATATATACTAATTACATCTAGTTCAAATATGATGTCTTAACAGGAAAATAATTATAAGTAGAAGCAATTAGTTTTTTTAACAACAAAAGAAGCAGAAAAGCCAAACTACAAGACTCTGTTACTTAGAAAGAAACATCAGCAAAATCGGTAACCAGAGAAAGGAAATTCTAGTCCTCTTCCATAATCTTGGTATGACATCGTTAGATACATGGTGAATACTTCACGTAATCTGAAAAGAACTTGGGGCTTTTATTAATTTAAGAATTTGGGGATGGAGAAACAAGTTTAGTCAGTGAACAGACTTGAATATTCAAGTGGCTTCTCACTATTGGTCATTATTTTAGCTAGCAGATGCATTTACTGAAAAGACCATTTCTATCAGCAAGCCTTGAAGTGGGTTCTGTGCTGGCAAAATTTCCAAGATGGCAAATTCTATTCATACCTAACTGTGACTAATCTATGATTTATTTTTTAAACTTTCCAAGAAAATGACACTGAGGGTGAGAGTCCAAAATACTACAGAAGATTGCTTGTAAGACAATCTACAATGTTTGAAAAAAGAGATATAAAAAGAAGCCACAAGGCTTCATGGAAATAGCAAATTTTGCAGTTAACTTCATTTCAGTTTGAATTATAAAACAATCACTTAGAGTTAGGCTATTTTGAAATTCAATGGCCTCACCCATAAAATGGATTTCTTAATCTTACCTTATTAAATCTGACAGGTTTGATAAAATATAAAGTATACAAAATACAAAATGGCTAGCATCATGCCAGATACTTAATAAGGAGGTATTTTTATTCAAGGTAGAAAACAGCATCCAGATGAAAAATTTGAAAACCACAGAGGTATAAATAAATAGTAGTAAAAAAAAATTTAATGCTGGAATCCAAAATGACCCTAGAGACCCAGAGGAGCAAAAAGCCTTGAGGTAGGGAACTCAGCAGTTCTTTCTTTAGGGCCAGTAGGTTCTTAGCTGTGTTACAACCATCGGCGCCACATACGAACTCTGGTAGCAGAGCATGCTTTTCTGTATTCTCAGGGCAAATAATCTGTCTCCTTTTCATTTGGAAATGTTGAGCAATTTTCCTATCATTTTATTGCCTTTTTCCTGGCTGGACTCATAATTTCAAATTATAAACTGAAACTCCACCGAGTAGTTCCATAATCAAATGGAAGGCAAAAGTATTAAAAAGTGTGAAAATTTCCTTTCAAAATATTCTTGGGCAGAGCTGGCTGCATGGCCTCATAGAATGAGCAGATATCTAATAAGTAAGACTTTCCTTAGGGATTAAGAAAATCTCATGCCTCCTGAAATATTTCCCCATTTTCTTATTGGTACTGGAAATTCTTTTAACAACAACAAAGGCTTTTTTTTATTTTCGTACTTGGTGCTAAGGATAAATATGTAATTAATACACCGACTTCATTGCAAAGTGAAGAACTAGAATCCTTTCCTTACAATTGAAGTTATATGATAGGAAGGAGAGAGGAGACACTAAGTATGTATGGGAGAGCTAAGAGATTGAAATATGTAGATGAATGAGTGAGAAAAAAATCAAAATAAAAAAGGCATCTCCATTGCACTTCTGTCCGAGATAGAAGTGGTGGTACGGGGACTTCTGCCAAGATGGATGCATAGGTGGAAGCACTGCGCCTTCTCACACAACCAAGTTTAAAAACAACAGTTTTAGCAACAAAAAATGCAGTCAAACCATAGAAAATTGAACTACACGGAAGTCTGACAACAATGAACCCTTCAGCCAAACTGGTAAGAGGGGCAGAGCCAGTAGCCGAGCAGAGTCGGGCAGGAAAGATCCACCTGGGCTCACAACCCAGGTGCACCAGCAGCCATAGGCGGATCCCGGGTGTTGAGTAGTAGGCGGACCCACTGAGGGCTACCACAGTCACACATTCCAGCGCAGATAAACCGGTGAAGGAGCGAAGCACTGAGACAGACCGTGCAGGCCCCAGTGGCGGAAAGTGGCAGAGGGGACCGCCATTGTCCCTCTCTGACCCTGCCCCCACATACAGCGTCACAAACCAGCAACTGGGGTGGCCTCTCTCTGACCCACCCCCACATACAGCATCACAAATCAGTGACCTGGGTGGCCCCGCCCTGGTGAATACCTCCTCGTACATAACAGGCACAAACAGATAAAAACATGGCTCAAGAACAACTCAGAGCCCCAGAGCCAATAAATCTAAGTGATGAAGAAATAGCCAAACTTTCAGATGCACAGTTCAAAATACTGGTGATCAGGATGCTCACAGAACTGGTTGATTATAGTCACAAATTAGAGGAACATATGAAGGCTAAACTAATTGAAATGAAATGCACAGGAAACCAACAGTAATGGAAAGGAAACTGGGACTCAAATCAAAGGAGTGGACCAGAAGGAGGAAAAAAATGACCAAACAGAAAAGGATGAAGAAACAAGAATTCAAAAAACATGAGGAGAGGCTTAGGAACCTCCAGGATATCGTTAAATATTCCGACGTCCAAATTACAGGGATACCAGAAGGGGAAGAGGAACAGCCACCAGTGGAAAACTTATTTGAACAAATAATAAAGGAGAATTTCCCCATTCTGGCAAAGGAAATAGACTTTCAGGAAATCCAGGAAGTTCAGAGTCCCAAAGAAGTTATACCCAAGAAGGAACACACCAAGGCACATCATCATTACATTAGCCAAGATTAAAATGAAGGAGAGAATTCTAGAAGCAGCAAGAGATAAGGGGACAGTCACCTACAAAGAAGTTCCCATCAGACTGTCAGCAGATTTCTCAAGAGACCTTATAGGCAAGAAGGGGCTGGAAAGAAGTATTCAAAGTCATGAAATCCAAAGACCTACATCCAAGATTGATCTATCCAGCAAAGCTTTCATTTAGAATGGAAGGAGAGATGAAGTGCTTCTCAGATAAGATCAAATTCAAGGAGTTCATCATCACCAAGCCCTTATTATATGAAATGTTAAAGGGACTTATCTAAGAAAAAGAAGATAAAAAAGATGAACAGTGAAAAGACAGCAAACTCACAGTTACTAAGAACCACACCTAAAACAAAAGCAAACTAAGAGGACAGCTAGATCAGGAGCAGAACCATAGAAATGAAGATCACATGGAGGGTTAGCAACAGGGGAGTGGGAGGAGGAGAAGGGGGGAGAAGGTACAGAAAATAAGTAGCATAGATGGTAGGTAGAAAATAGATAGGGGGAGGGCAAGAATATTATGGGAAATATAGAATCTAAAGAACTTGAGACACATGGTCATAAACTAAAGGGAGGGAATGGTGAGGGAGGGTGTGCAGGGTGGAGGGGAATGAAGGGGGGAAATAGAACTGTAATGGCATAATCAATAAAATTTTTAAAAATGTAAAAAAAAAAAAGAAGTGGTGGTACAGAACTCTCTTTAACCAGAGTTACTAACAGGGAAACTTGAAACACTTTTTTGAAGATGAGCAACAATATACAGTATTATACAATTTACATAAAACACATACACAAAAATCAACACAAATTTTCTCTAGACATATACAAATATATCGATATGGGTCTGGAAGATACATATCAAACTGATAACCACATTTTTTCCTAGAGAAGTGAATAGATTTGGAAATATTCTGTATATATTGTAATTTCTTTTGAGGTATAATCATATAATGCTGCACAATACACATTTTAATAATTAAATAAATAAAACAAAAAGAACTCATCTAAAATGTGTCAACCAAATTGGAAAATTCTACATTAGGTGTCACAATATGCAAGGAAGTCTAAACAAAATCTTTCCTAACTAATAACTATTTAATAAGTTTTTATTCAGTATCAAGTATATATACAAAATTATCGAACAGTATATTAATACTTACAGATGAATAGAAAACTGAGGGAGTTATCTTTCAGCTTAACTCTAATTTAGAATCAATAAAGTCTAATAAATATAATTCCATGAACATAATTGGAAAATAGAGGTGAATGGATTCCACCTCTGTTTCACATCCCTCATTTCTTAAACTTTCAGAACTAACTTATGAAGATTTATATGGTCAGATAAACCTGTGGACCACAGAAACCAAGGAAAAAGATTAATCTTATTATACCAATTTTATGAAATTATGCTAAAGTCAACTTCTAAATTCTACAATCTTTGGGTGCAAACTA